GTATGGATTTCTTCGAGCTAGGCGTAGGAAGCTCGGAGAATGCCCGACACTTGTCGGGGTTGGCTTCAATTCCCTGTTTCGTTAGATAAAAGCCAAGGAATTTTCCCGCCTTAACTTGAAGGTGCATTTCTCAGGGTTGAATCTCATTCTGCATTGTCTCGCTTAGGAAACGACCTTTTTGAGGTGGGCAGCATGGTCGGTATCTATTCGAGACTTGACGGTCATGTCGTCCATGTATACCTCGAGCATATCACCAATCTTGTCGCGAAAGACTTTATTCATCATTCGCTGGTACGTTGCCCCTGCATTTTTCAGGCCGAAGGGCATTATGTTGTAGTAGTAATTGCCCGAGCTGGTCATGAAAGCAGTGCAATTCTTATCGCTCATTGCCATTGGGATTTGGTTATAACTCGAGTAGGCGTCCGTAAATGATAAAATTTTATAGTCGGCCGAATTGTCGACCAACATGTCAATATTAGGTAAAGGAAAAGCGTCTTTAGGACATGCCTGATTAAGATCAATATAGTTAACACATATTCTCCATTTTCCATTATTTTTCTTAACAAGTACAAAATTTTAGAGCCAGGTTGAATACCGGGCCTCAGAAATAAAATTAGCCTCTAGGAGGTCTTTTACAACATTTTCAGCAGCCTCCGCTTTCTCGGGAGACTGCCTACATCTCTGTTGTACTACTGACCTAGTGGCTGGATCAATGGCCAACTGGTGATAGGTGACCTGGGGGTCGAGTCCGAAAATCTCTGTGGCACTCCATGCGAACAAGTCCGCATTCTCCCTCAAGCAATATTTGATCTTCTTCCTCGCTAAATCAGGGATTCTGGTGCCGATCTTCACGCCTTTGTGAGGGTCTTCATCGAGGGGGACGAACTCGAAGTCTCCGTCCGGGATTGGTCGGGGGAGTTCTTGTTTGTCGATGGGGGCTTCATCCTTGTAGAAGAGGGTGTTGAGCAAGATGGAGTCGACCTTAGGTGAAGCCCTTTGTTCTTCTGTCTTGACAGGCTGCGGTTCAGGTCGAGCAATAGCAGCTCTCTTGGAGGTCGCACCCCGGTGTCGATTGTACTCTATCCCTTAGAAGCCACGTTGAAACATCTTTGGGCAGCTGAGATATCGCCGTGGATGGTGGCGACGCGTCCCCTTCTTGTGTAGAATTTCATCTTTAAATGGACAGTGGAGGGTACAACGGTCAATTCGGCCAACGTTGGTCTCCCTAGAATGTGGTTGTAGAGAACGGGAAGTCGATGACCAGAAATCGCACCTTGATCTGACGGGATGTGGTTTCTTCCCTGAAGGTGACAAAGAGTTTAATGTATCCCCATGGTTTGGAGGTCGAGCCATTGAAGCCTTGTAGGTCAGACCCCACGTATGGAGAAAGGTGGATGTCGTCAAATGTAAGGTTCAAAACAGATGGCTGTACATAACATCGACAAAACCCCCCTCGTCGACCAAGACGTGGTGAACGTCGAAATTATCCATTCTTGCCCTCACCAGTAGAGGGATGCTCGAGTTAGGGTCCCCTCCAGGAAACTCTTCGAGGTAGAACGTGATTGATTCGGATATGCCCTTGACCTTCTCGAATGTCACGGCTTGAGTTGGGGCTGCGTCGACCAACTCGTCGAGCTTTCTTTTTGCAGAGTTTATAGAGATATCATAGAACCCCCCACCAGTTATAACCATGACGGAGGGGAATTTCTCCCACCTACTGTGCATGGACATAGGTTCTTTCTCGTATCTGTCTGGGACGTAGAAGTCCTCCGGCCTTATAACAGAGAAATCTATTTGGATGGGGGCCGTCTCATCCTATGGTCGGGTGTCCTCCTCGATCACTTTTGTCTCACGGGAATCTCGACGAGGGGCTTCATTGCATCGATATTTCCCGAGTCTGTCACCCTTGATGAGAGTTTCGATGGCGTATTTGAGTTGGACAAAGTCTTTAGTCAGGTGCCTGTGACTTCGATGGTACTGACATTATTTACTCCTATTAACCCCGAGCTTCATAGGAGAAGATCGATGACGTTCTACGCCGCCGTCCTTGAAGTCGGTATTAGCACACTCCACCAGATGCGCTCGCATGAAGCTGTCAGTGGAGTGTATTCGGTGAATCACCCTGCGGGTCCCCTGAGCTCGCGGGGATCTCGCGGTTTATCATCCCTTCTCTTATTTCTCTATCGTCGAGGAGGGCCTGTGTCCTGGTGTCGCAGGGTGTTGTTCGACCCGAGATTCCTCGGGTCACGGGCTTTGTTGGACGCTTCCCTCTCCTCGTAGTCCATATAGGCCTTACCCTTTTCGAGGATAGTATCGAAAGTCCGAGGTGGTTCGATGCCGACGGCCTTCTTGAACTTTATGCCTGAGAGGAGTCCTCCCTCGAGCAAATATCTCTTCATGTGATTGATGCACGAGACCTAAATGGCCTCGTGGTTGAATAGATCAATGTACTTCCTGAGGGTCTTGTCGCTTATTTGGACGATATCCTCAAGGGCGGCCTTAGTCTTCAAGTGTCGACGAGACGCTGTAAAGGAGTTGATGAACTGGCTCTTTAGGTTTCTCCAGGAGGTGATCGACCCTGGGGGAATATTTTTATATCAGTTCATTGCAGTTTTCCTCAAGGTCATGAGGAACAACCAGTTCATTGTGATAGTGAAGCATTGCCTTGAACCCGTCGATGTGGTCGACAGGGTCAGCAATGCCATCATATTCCTTCAGTTGGGGAGGCTTTTCCATTCCCCTGGGAATTGGAGCCTCCATGATTTCTTGTGAGAAGGGACCGCGAGGGTCGTCTTCGTTACTCATGTAGGGGGAGTGGGAAGGAGACTAATTGTAGTGGCGGTCGAAGTGATGTCCTTGGCCTCAGGGAGGATCACTTGGTCGAGGATGCGCTTCTACGTTGTTTCTGTTTCTATTTTTAGTGGATTGTTGTTCCCTGCCCGGGGGGTTAAGGCCGCATCTCCCGGTAGCCTCAGGAATTATTCTCTCCAACGCGGGGCGTCGCCAAGTCCATCGGGGAGAGAGGCTTCGCGACCTGTCCCGCCTGTGTCTCCGCGGGGGAGATTGAAGACGGTCTTCATTTTGATAAGGTGGTGGAGTGTCAGGCCTTTTTTTTTCTTCTGGGGGCTCGACGAGATTCCTCGAGCACCCTTAGTCACCAACCTTGCGAGAAGATCAAGTAATTCACCTGGTTAATGGCCACGAACAGAGCCCTGATCGTGGCATCAACGCCCACAAGGGCGGGGACCTCCTGGAAAACGTTCGGCTCATAGTTCTGGGGCGGATGGGTGCCCTCGTATGGTCGAGAGCGTGATGATGAAGAGGCGGTCATATCGCCTCTGTAATTCTGCACGAGATTGACCATGTCAACATCGTTCCCATTGTTGTTGCCCATGTTGTCGACGACGTTGTTGTTGGGGTTGGCGAGATGGGCGTCTAGGTTGTTATTGGCAGCTGGGTCGGCCATGTCAATAAAAAGAGTTTGAAGAATTGCTTTAGTATTGGGTTAATGAAAGACGGGGAAGCTTGTTTCCCACAGACGACGCTACAGATCGTACCTGAACATAATGAATCGTCAAAGCCTACGAGCTCTAAGTTGAGCAGCAACTGGAAACGAGTTAGGGGGTATCTGCAAGACACTCCGATGCCAAAGTAAGGTTCAGAGCAGTGCGAGCAAGTATGAGAGTGAGTATGAAAGAATGAATACCTGACTCTCTCAAGAGAGAGGGTATTTATAGCCCCCAACGCTAGGTCCCCATTGTTGGGCTGGGAAAACAGGCCCAAAATGGAGACTGACAGGTTCTACGTGCGTAGTGGGGCTAGCACGTGGTCTCCAACCTGGATGAACTCTCCCGAATAGTCAGGAGGATATGGATGCAGTCTTTTCGGGACCAAGAGGACTCCATGATATTCGGGGGTGTGACGAGTCAACCATACGAGAAGGATGTCAGCGGTGTCCTTATGTCGTCGTGACCCCCCGCCAGCTGTGAGGTCGTCTAAGAGGGCTTGTCTTGATCGACGAGAAGAGTGGAGGATGCTCGTGAGGTCCTCCTGACTGGCGACGAGCCTCCTCGCGATTCCTGGACTTATCTCCGTACGACGAAATTACGTTTTCCCAAAGAGTGAGGTTGCTTCCCGACATAGTTAAAGGCAGACTCGATTAACAGACCTTCTCGAACAACATAGTTAAATTAGACTTTGTATAAAATTGGGTCAAATACAAGCCCAGTCTAAAACACTATCCATCACCAATTATTTGAAATCATGCAAAACCAAGTAAATGACAACCTTAATTCGCCAATTATTTGAAATCATGCAAAACCAAGTAAATGACAACCTTAATTCGCAAGTAGACACTAGAACTATTGCTAAAAACATTCTCCCTAACCGTAGCACAAATTAATTATGTACAACTCATCTCTTGCAAGTAACATATATGCTATTTATAAACATTAAATGATGTTGAAAGTCTACATTTTGATGTAGCAAAGAGCCAAAGAATCGAGTTTAACCATTAAAATTAAAGGAGAACAGCATTCAAGTGCCAACCAAAATAAAAACTTGTCAAACATTAAAATAAGGTGTGATATATAACTATATTTATCGATTTTAGTCAAAATATTTTCCTAAATTTTAGCATTAGTGATGAAAAATTTCAGGTTTTAACAACTTTAAATTTATAATAATCTATATATTTTTTAATTTGAATGAATGAATATATTTTTTTAGTAAAAAAAAATAACAACGTGATAATTGTAATAGAAAATGAAGAGAACATGCATTTCACATATTTTTTTCCAAACTAACTTAAATATCATAATAATGAACCACAATAAATTGACAAGATACAGTCATTGATTTAACTCCAAACAAAGTAAAAATTTAGGGCATTGAGTTTTCAACTTCTTACTATAGAGATTCCTATTAAGAACCAAGCCCTATCCTAATTTCAAGTACTTCAACCTGAACATTAACAAACTTTCAACTAAAAAAACCTTCTTCTAATCTACCCACTGCTTACCATTCTGAACAAAATGGTTATGATCATAATGTCTGACCTTCAAATTCTTCAACCAACCATCAGCAGCCTTCAAAAGTGAGTTCAATTGGCACGATTGAGATGCTTCCGGAAAAGGCAAAATCGACCCTCTCACCTTATAAGTTGTTAGACCGAAAATCGGAAGAGGTGTTTTCATCTTTCTGTCACGCATCTCCGGTTGAGTTGACAGATTATGGTATGTAAGAAATGAAGCTTCTATGTTCTTTAGCGTCGGTCCATTAGGGATACGGTAAATCGGATACCTGAACACAATTTCTATTTGTTACACACTACAATAAAAAAGTCTTATTCGATTAAGTGAAGTCGGCTATAATATTAGACACTAAAAAAGATGTGGATTTAGACGCTACCATGCCACGGAAAACCAACTGCAGGGCGATATTTCAGAGCTTCTCAAATACTTTAAACAAGGATCTTCTTTAGCAAGAGTTGAAACCTGAGAAGAAAATAAATTATTAACGTTCAAACCGGGAAAGGTGAGTGATATAATGAAAAAGAAAAGAACTTGCCTTTTTAGTAAGAGGAATGCGTACATATGGCGAAAAATGCTCAAAAAATTCATACACAACCTTATTAGTTGTCACAGAATCACCACTTTTCTCACTAAAATTTCACAACAACAAAAAAACCACATGTTTTGAGCATTACAATGGTCGAAAAAAAACCACATGTTAGAATCAAAAGAACCTATATTTACATAAATGGAACAAGGAAAATTCAACTCACTCTAGTCCTTCATCTTCAACGTAGAGTTGAATTGCAGAGAGATATGGCACGAAGTATTGTAACACTTGTTCATCGTTCAGTGTGAATTGCACCTCCACTCCATATGCACTCCATTCCTTGAAAGACTCCCACAAGTCTTCAAGAATGAAGTAAGGCTTCTCCCCAGAATCACAAGTTTTCTGTAAAATTCAAAGTCAAAACAAATATCAATTAATTAATTAAAGAAAAATTAAATTATAAGAACAAAAAGCATTCCACAAGTAATTGAAATAAATAATTCAACAAAAGTTCATGACTATGGACCATTTATTTTGGTTTTGTTATGGTTTCTTTGTGAAAAAATATCTTTTTTTTTATTTATTTTAAATATGTCTTGGGATTTATTTAATCCATTTATTATTACAATTTTTAAATAAAAAAATTAAATAAGAGTTTCACAAAATGAATCTAAGACTCATTTAAAATAAAGACGTTGTTTTCTTTACTTGGAAATTATGATAACTTTTTCTTTTTCAAAAAGTAATTTTTCATTATAGTTAATAAATATAAAATAATTTTAGTTTTATAAAAAGTTGACCTTTAAATTATATTAAATCATGTAATTTATTTTTTATAATATGTAATAAATGTGTCTTAAAATTGCTCGTCAAATAAAACCTCAACATTATACGATTTTAATCACAGAACAAACAAGTCACCAAAAATTGAATGAACTCGAGTTAATTGTTTTAGCAGTAAAAAAAGGAAAAAATATATTAAAATTAAAAGAAATAAATTTTAACACCTCATATGAAAATTTAGCATTGACCAAAGGGGTGAATGAGGATAAGAGACTATTCAGATTATTCACACTATCAGAACTGGACGAGATCTGCTCGAACAAATTTGACATGATCGAAATAGGAAATGAATTGTAGAATCAATAATAGTGTGCCAATGAAAGATTGATCGAAGAAAGAAAGAAATAATGGAAGAAAAGAGAGTGAATGTTACAAATTTGGATTATAAGGAAGAAGAAGCATAAGCACAAATAAAAATTTGTGTCGTATTTTGCAATGAGGAGTGAAGTGTGTGAATTTATAGAAGCAAAATGAGGGATCTAAATTTTTTTCCATAAATTTGATTTTTTGATAGGTTTTTATTTTATTTTTTGGTTTATGTTTTTTGAAAATTTTCAATACTTATAACTTCGAAGTGGGCTTTTTCTTTTTTTATTAGTATTTCTTTTAATAAAAATTAAGTCAAAGAAAACATTATTTAATAAAATATTTTTATTCTGACATAAAAATTAGAGACTATATAAAAATGCATTATACGTGTTTGTTATAAGATTTTTAATAGGATTTAAACCACTCTTGCGAGAAATAATGTAGAAGTGAATAAGAGTATTTATAAGAAAATTATTCTTCTTAGTTATAAAAAATTTTAACTGGTTTAAACCACTCTTGCGGGAAATAATATAGAAGTGAATCAAGAGTCAGTATCGAAACGTTATTTATGTCATTCTCTAAAGTCGGGTAAGAGAAAAGAGACATGTATGTTAGAAGATAGACTATAATAGCCTTTTTACGTTACAAGAGTGAACCAAATATTTGATCATTAAGCAGATTCATCCATTAGATGCTCACAAGATCCCATCATTATTAGAAAAATATTAAATTAAGTTAATAAGTTCAATAAAAGTATATTAGAAATCAAATGATTTGGTACTTATCACTTATGATAAAGCTTTTAAGCATTTGAGAGTTAAATTCTTATGTATTGACTTTGTACCAAATGATACTAACCCACTCGTTATATCTATGTTGATCTTCCTTGTAAAGAATCATTCATGTAGTTATGAAATAGGTCAGATATAGACAATTTTGATTTGACGTTTTACTTCTCCTTTTATAGGGGTTTTCTAGGGTTAATGAGGGCCTAGAATATTTCATTATACGATCATTGTCTAAATTGACAAGTGTTAGTGTATGATTCATTTTGTCATCTGAAAGTCCTCATTCAATCATATGTCTGAGTCATGTGCTTTTCTAGGGTAGGTACGTATGCTCCCGAGGTGTCATAACCTTCCTTGGGTCTATAGTTGAAGATATGTCATTTTTACCCTACGACACTAATCTGACTTGCGCATTAAGTTGAATGACCTTTTGTCTGTTAGAATAATATAGCAAGTGTGAGTAAGTGGAGAAATAGTCCCATATTGAATAGGAATGTGGATACTTAAGCATATATAAGTGGGAGAACCCACTCACCTATGACCTTAAGGTTTTAGGTGGATAAGTGGTGTGTCTCTCACAAAGGTGCTTATTCCTACACTATGTATCAATGCTCCTAGTGTAACTCCCTCCAACATGGTATCAGAGCTAGGTTCGAGAAAGGGAGCATTGTGGACTCACACTTGAGGGGGAGTGCTGGAATAATATAGCAAGTGTGAGTAAGTGGAGAAATAGTCCCACATTGGATAAGAATATGAAGACTTAAACATATATAAGTGGGAGAACCCACTCACCTATCACCTTAAAGTTTTAGGTGGATAAGTGGTGTGTCTCTCACAAAGGTTCTTATTCCTACACTATATATCAATGCTCATAGTGTAACTCCCTCCAACATTGTCTTTATCGACTTGCTATCTAGGTCACGTGTTAATGGGATACACACTATTGGATCATGAACTATTTAGTTGCACATGTTATTGGACCATAAGTATTATTTTAGTCCATGCGAGAACACCTCCTCTATAATAGAATATACCTTTGACTATAAGGGATAGTTTATAGAGACATGTAAACACTTGGTTCTTCAACAAGGCAGATGTCAAATAATATTGAGATGACATGATGAATTCTATTGGTACATGAAGAGATAGAGACCATAATATTTTTGTTTCCTAGATAGATATAGTAAACAATACATAAAGTAGCCGATTAATTCATTGATTGTGATGAGGAAAACCTCCCTGTAAGGGGAAGAGTTAAGGTAGAAACACATTGTTGTTAACTACCCACTTTGTCCCATAATAAGTGACCAAATTGACCATTTCACACAGATTAAGAAAAAATTATAAATGAAAGAGTGAGAATAATATTTTTACTAAAGTACCCCTTATCAAGTAATGGGAATGATGTAATTAGTATGTGTTAGCTTGAAAATGTGTCACATGCAAGTATACATGTATGTTTAAAAGTAGCAAGTGATAAAAATTAAGGATATTGTATCCACAGAGAGTGAAATTGTTAATTAGGTTGATTTTGCAATATATATTTGGAAATTAAGCATGAGCAAGGATAAAAACGATATATGAATGTCACAAGTTCAGTTTTCTCTTAAACCAGGACTAAAAAAATGTGGTGAGAGTGAAAATATATCAAGAGAGAATGTGTTGAGCTACGATCCATTAATATTAGTGAAGTAAATATGTGTTCATGATGTGCAGTGTCATACCAGGAAAGGTCAGAGTGATCAAGAGGTGTATTACTACAACATCAAATCATGCATCAAAGGGCAAGGAAACAAATCTCTAAGTCACACTTATAACTCTAAAACATGTATGTTTGTAATATGAAATCCTTTATAGTTGTATTTCCTTATATCTAAGTGAACTAATCAACTAAATATCGCTATCCTACTCTTCTCAACTATTTTTATTATGAAATCTACTCGTTGTTAGATCTCTCACAACAACAAGCTATTATATTTTCCTAAGTTGATCATTCAAAGGAGCCGATTTGTAAACAAGTTATCACATAATAAAACAAGACACTAAACAACACATCGCTTAACATAAAATAACTTAATATTAATTTCACATTGCTCAACAAGAAAAGTTTTAGCTCATAAGAAACTGAGTAAAAGCTACAAGCATGGTTCTCAGAGGATACATTCTTAAAAAAATATTGAAAAATAAATATAAACCTAAGAGTAACTTAAAGACTTCTTAATATGGATAATAAGCAAGATATGACTTCAGCCGCGTCAAAATTCAACAGCTGGTACAGGAATGGATGAGAAGAAGAAACTCTATTTACTCTCCACTATCCTCACACTATTATCTTCTGTACTTTCTCTTGGAAATGCTGAACTGTTTCTATATCTTCATCAAGGTCTACTTATAAGCTTTCACTAGGGTTTCTTGTGATGTCTTAGATCATGGGTCCAATATGAGGAAATCAAATCAAGCCCATCCATGAATCAACGCCATCACACATTTTATTCTGCTTAACAAGCAAGGAATCAAGTACGAGGGAACATTTATCGGGGACAAAGCATTTTGTGACAGACTGCCACATTAGGGTGTCGGCGGCACTGCATATTGCATAAAGTAGTGGGTGTACTATTTGTTAGACGATGTGACGGATTTAGAAGTGGGGGTTGAATAGATCCCTTTAAAATTTTTGCGCGTTTTGTAAAATTGTTTTTATCAGAGAGCAACAACCCTAAATTTGATCGTCTAAACTTTACGTATTGGAAAGATCGGATATGCGAACCAACTTGATGAAAATGATGAGAATAGAATCATAATCAATAATGAATATGATAAATCGCTTTAGCAAGTTTAACAAGGTGTATGTTATTATCAATTTATTGCGGAGAAGATAAAGCAAATTTGTGAGTTGTAAATTTACCAAACACTTGGTGTACGTACTACACAAGGTTTGGGAACTCCTAAAGTGTTTCTTGGCCTTTTACTTCCAAAAGCTTCCAAACATCATACATAAGACATCCCTATCCCTGTTACACGACTGTAACACCATCTTCATCCATTTCCAAGTTCAAAAATAGAGCACCACAATTGGACTTCTCCAAACCATTTCAGCCACCTTCAGCTCAAACCAGCCATTGCATTAGCTTCCTAGAGGTCCAAGGAAGCTAACCTGATCATCACCATCACTTGAAACAAGCTCAAACTCATTTCATGATTTCCAGTTTTGAGGTATTTTTTCTTGAACTTCTATCTCATTATTTAGGCATTGTTAGGCTTGCATTTGTGAAGATAGAATGTAGATATCATTGCCCTGAAACTATACATGTCTATAGATTTCATTTATGTTGCTTAAGCATGGAGAATTTTGAGTTTGAACTTGCTGAAACATTTAGGTCAGAATTTGGTACTTTCATAAATTCATCCTTACCTTTGAATGTTAGCTTAAATTAGTTACATGGTTGGATTCGTGGTGAAAAAATACACAAGTTTCATGTTTACATTTCTGAAAATGGTTGAGGAATGAGCAAGTTTGAAATCCTTTGGCTGGAGGTTGAAGATGAAGTACAGTCAGGGCAAAATATGTGTTATGTATTTATTGTTGTGCCAATATTAACGGATGTATCACCACCCCAGTGGTTAAAGCGCACGCCTGTAACCAGAGGGACCTGGGTTCGAGCCCCAGTGGTACCCTTTTACTTGTTTTTTTCTTCATATTTTTCACTTTTTTTATTGTTGTTTGCAGCGCTGGGCCTTTAACTTGGGCTTGGCCATTTGTTTGCTGATTCTAACCCCCCTCTGACTATGTTTACACTCTTGGCCCATTTTATTTTTTTATTTATTTTGTTTTCTATTCCATATTTTCTTCATATATTTTATTACTGTTTTTATTATTATCATTATTATTATTATTTTACTAAAAAATATGAAAAATATTTTTATTTTATTATTTATATTTATTTAGTTTATTTTTCTTCATAAAACAAAAGAATAAAAAACATTTTCTTTAGTAAATTAATTTCTTTTTTAATACTTAGATAATTAGTTTTAATTATTATATCATTATTTTCTTGTAAATTAAATAATTTAGAACTTAGGTTTCCTTTTAACTAAATTAAATTTTTTTTATATATAATTTATTATTTAAAACCTTTTCATGAAAAACCCTAAAAAATCATTTTTAACTTATTTTT